CCCCAAAACCCCAAAACCCCAAAACCCCGTAATTTAATGTTAGAGTACAATATTTGGAACATTAGAATATTAAAATAAGTTAATAACAAGAGCATTTTGATGATTACTCGAATTATGTGAGATTTAAGATTGCATATTCTCACAATTGATGTGGGTACTTGAACTTTTATTTGTGTACTACATCTATAATCTTTTCCATTAAGAGTTTGACAGTTTCTTTGTCCTTGTCAGTTTACTCTCCCTCACTTAATCTAAAGTTTACCTCTGTAAAGTCCATACCATAGGCCTCTGGAATGAAGGTCTCAAAGAACTAGAGCATAAAGCTAAGAGGAATACCCTTGGACTCTGGGGTGCCAGTTGATCTGAAATCTTCCCATGTCACTCCATCAATATCGAAAGAAATCCAGTAGGGAACTCTCTCAGCATTGTTTGGGAATAAGTATGATTCGATATTTTTCTTTATAACGTCCATTCGCTCTGCTAGACAATCCTCTGATTTGAACCATAAAATTTCTCTATCATCTAGTAGCTGTTTCTCTTCAGGCTCCCATTGTCTAAGGCCAAAATATACAATATCCCTTAGGCTGAGCACAGGTGGTTGCTCATACTTTGCTAAGCCAGTTAGGTAAGCTACTGGACCTCCGTGAATATCTCCAGTGAGAGATGATTCTGGAGTATTCGCATCTACGTGGGCATCAATCCATAAGATCTTAGTCTTTGGGTAAACAGCCTTTAGACCATTAATTGAGCCTATTCCTTAAGAGTGATCACCGCCAAAGATAACTGGGAATTACTTTGCGTGTAGCGATTTAATGACACTAGACTCTAGTCTGACATTAGACTGGTAGACGTTGTGCCAGTTTCTTTCTCCCTTTCTATGACCATCAATGATATCCTTATCTTATGCTTAGTTGCATTTTCGATTTGTTACATTGACCATCTCGGTTGAGACTCCGTTTCTATTCTACAAAAATTTCTATTGCAAAAGCCACTCTGGGGCTTCCTCTGGTCCTGGTCTCTACTATCCTCCTGCAAATGGGAAGCCAATCACATGCACGTGTCTCTCAATGCTAGTTGAGAAGAATCTCTATTGCGAAGAATTGAGTTATTTAGCAAAACCTCTTTTTAAATATTAGATGGATGACTAAAGCATTATTCAGTATAAGTTAATTTATTATATATTAATTATTGCCAGCCTCTAAATAGGTTAAATATTTACTTATACGGGGTTTTGGGGTTTTGGGGTTTTGGGG